ATCCAGTATCAAGGTGATAAAGAACATGAACTTCTGTCAGGAATAAGAATGTAAGGATTGCAATGCTGGATTAGACCAAGGTCCATATCTTATCATCTTTTGTTTCCGACTAAGCCACGCGGGTGACGCTGTGGTCTAAACCACAGAGCCTCTTGGGCTTGCCGATCAGAAGGTCGGCGGTTCAAATCCCTGTGACAACGTGAGCTCCCATTGCTCGGTCCCTGCTCCTGCCAACCTAGCAGTTCGAAAGCAGGTCAAAGTGCAAGTAGATAAATAGGTACCAGTCCAGCAGGAAGGTAAACGCCATTTCCATGTGCTGCTCTGGTTTGCCAGAAGTGGCTTTGTCATGCTGGCCACATGACCCGGAAGCTGTCTGTGGACAAACGTCAGCTCCCTCGGCCAATAAAGCGAGATGAGCGCTGCAACCCCAGAGTCGTCCACCACTGGACTTAACAGTCAGGGGTCCCTTTACCTTTGCCTAAGCCCCATAGACACTCACAAGCAGAACGCTGGACACAGCAGCTAACTTCCCAGCAGCCTGTGAAGTCTTTGGAATTAGAGTGACATGATCCTGCCCGGTTGCACCCAGTAACAGCAGAGCTGGAGCATTTTTCGAGGGAATTCCTGAAATGTCGTTTTGTGCTGCTTGTTTTGCAACTTTTTTCAAGTACTCTGGGAAAGTTGAGGGAGGTGATTTTGTGACCGACAGGCAGCACGATGTGAAACTCTTCTAAAAACCAAAAGAAGATATATTCCCTGAGTTTGAATCAAGAGGGAAGTCTGTATGAATGCTCAAAATGCAGTGAGAGCCCCTCCACAACAGGCTTGTGGCTCCAATTATGCCTACCTGGGGAGGCTGTGGAGGGCAGGATATAAATAAAACTTAAATAAATAAAATAAATAAAATTTAAATAAATAAAATATAAATAAAATGTATTATTATTATTATTATTATTATTATTATTATTATTATTATTATTATCTGTGCATATACCTTGAGTACATTCTAACATTCCCCACAGAGACCTTGTTAAGATAAAAGGGGATGATCCTATGCGTGCCAGTTTTGGAAGAAAGTAATGATATGTGATATATAAATACCTTTTTTAAAAAAAAATGAAAGGTTTTATCATGTTTCCCTTTTTCACTGTATATTTTGTGGCATAGACTCTAGGTGGCAGTATGACCTTAGCAGAACTTTTATGGTGCTCAGAATCCATCAACATAGTTACACACCTACACCTAAAACATGGGAACTGTTTCTGCTGGTGTTACTATCAAACCAGGGTTTCGGTTATCTGCTGTGTGTCTGGGGTTAGGCCAATAATTTTCCAGCTGCTGTCTTACCTTCTGATTTCCCTTCCCCAGCCTTAAAGGGTAGGAAGGCTGCTAGGGTACCTATTAAGTACCGTATTTTTTGCACCACAAAACTCACTTTTTTCCTCCTAGAAAGTAAGGGGAAATGTCTGTGCGTGTTATGGAGCGAATGCCTGCGGGTGGCGGGGGGGGGGGATCTGCTGCAGTCGTGAGCAGAGGATCCATGATTCCCCTTCCTTCCCTCCTCTGTGGTTACAAAGCATGGATCCACATGGATCCTCAGGATTTTTGCATTGGACTACTCCAAACTCACTGTCAGATCACATGTCTGTGGCCACAGCATGAACCACAAAAATCATATATCCACTATTTCATTTAGAATATTTTTTTTTCTTGTTTTCCTTCTCTAAAAACTACGTGCGTGTTATGGTCTGGTGCGTGTTATAGAGCGAAAAATACGGTAAATGGTCTCACTTAAGGCACCTGGAGAAAGAGAGGGGACTTGGGCCTGAGGCCAAACTAAATATGCAGAAGACACATTAACCATTTCCAAATATATGTACTGTATGTATATGCATCAATCAAAAAGATGGCCAGTTTGAGCAGAGTGGAAATGGAGCAGCTGTTTAAAACTTTGCCTTTCTGATTTTTTTTTTCTGGCCCAGATTATGTTCTTCAAACTTAGAAGCATAGAATTATAGAATTGGAAGGGACCCCAAAGGACATCTAGTCCAACCTGCTGCGATGCAGGAATCCTGCCCACAGCCGTCCCTGGGCGGGATTGAACCACCAACCTTGAGCTTGAAGGACATAATATGAAGCTTTCTATCCATCACCATGCCTTGCCCCTGTGGTTGAGGGGGCCGGGCCCATGCAACGTCATTCCGCCCACTATGTTCAATACTCCCTATGCTGATAAGATGACAGGCTTATTAGTTGAGAGCTGAGTGCAAGTCATCACCCAGCAGCTTCAGCACATGCCAATTTATTTATAGCATCTTTCACTGTCCACCCAGTGAATTATGGATATCATTACAGTAGGGGAGCTGTGTTAGTTTTTATTAATAAGCTTATTAAAAGAAGCCAGTTGCACCTCTAAGGCTAACTGAAATTACTTTATTGAAAGTGCATGAGCTTTTGTAGGCAATTACTTCTGCAAATGGAACTATGAGCTGCAAGGCAGGGAATAATAATATAACACTTAGGACTGATACAATTTTACTGAGGTTTTATTGAACCGAAGACATACCAAATTATAGCTAAGGCTGCAATCTTTACCATAGTTCACATGAAGCAGGCCCCAAAGAATTCAACAGAATTTTCTTCTGATGAGACATAGTTCGGATTGTGTTGCTAGTCTCGTTGCCGTGTTGCTACACCTAATTTTAATTGATATAACGTTTACATGCAGTCTTCCTCAATTTTAAAGGAAGTAGTTAGAGACATTTCAGAAAATTCCAGGTACCAAACATGCTTCTCTTTGCTTTTAGGTTGTGAGAAAAACTACACTCCCTCTTTTGGCTTTGAATGATATAGATAAATATTTTAATTCAAAAATTATGGGGAGGAATCCAGTGTTGATCTACATCGCCATGTCAAACATTCCATCAGTTAGTTGGCATTTGTCTGTCTTGGGAGATGATGGAGGAATGTGCCTTTGGGGGTGAAGTCAAACCGTTGGAAAGTTACAGGGCCTGCTGTGGCTACAGAGATCAATACGGGAGAGACATGTTTTATTGCAGGTGGGGCAGATCCAGGTGTCTGGTTTCCGTGCGCTGCTCTGGTTCGCCAGAAGCGGCTTAGTCCTGCTGGCCACATGACCCGGAAGCTGTATGCCGGCTCCCTCGGCCAATAAAGTGAGATGAGCGCCACAACCCCAAAGTCGGTCACGACTGGACTTAATCGTCAGGGGTCCCTTTACCTTTAATTATACATATCTGTGATTATATCCTGTTTATGACAATTCTGCAATGCTTAGACACAGAACTTAGGGGCTTTGCATCTTTGCTGCTATTCCACCATCCTCCCCCTGGGAGATCACCTGCGGACATTCAGCAATAAGGGAATGAAAGGAGAAAGAAAATATAGCTAGTGAAGGTAGCAGAAAGAAATTCCATCTTGCAGCAGTCATAGAGACACCCAGAGGCCAAACACTTAGGTTATTTTCTTTTTTTAATCTTTTTGGCACGAAAAGAACAAAAGCAACATGCTTACAAGCCACAAGGGCTGTCTAATAAAAGGATCTCAATGCAGACGTGCCATCATTGCAAAGATGAAAATATTATTCAGTAACAAGCAAAAGGGGTATAATATCTAGAGTCAAGAGAGTCTTCTAGCCTCTCCAGTCATGCTGGTAGCCATTCAGTCTTTCGCCCCTTTTTTCAAAATATGCCAAAGGGGGTCAGGAAGACACTACACAAGCAAGCAGAAACACTTTAATACACATAGGGTCCTGTCATCTCCCAAAGTGGTGTCCATAAGAACCTCATAATCCCTCATCTGGCTGAAGCTAAGCTTTTGATCTATGTCACACAAACGATTTGGCTTTGTCCTTCGCAGAATCCTTTCCAACTTCTGGGCCCCCAACAGCAGAACATGCAGGGATCTATATATATACACACACACACACACACACACACACACACAGTGGTGCCCCGCAAGACGAATGCCTCGCAAGACGGAAAACCCGCTAGACGAAAGGGTTTTCCATTTTGGAGGTGCTTCACAAAATGAATTTCCTATGGGCTTGCTTCGCAAGACGAAAATGTCTTGCGAGTTCCTGCAGGGTTTTTTCCTCCCCCCCCCTTTTTCCCAAGCCGCTAAGCTGCTTATCAGCTGATCCGCTAAGCCGCTTAACAGCTGATCCGCTAAGCCACTAAACAGCTGATCGCTAAGCCGCTTATCAGCTGATCCGCTAAGCCACTAAGCCACTTATCAGCTGATCCGCTAAGCCTGCTAAGCCACTTATCAGCTGATCCGCTAAGCCTGCTAAGCCGCTAATAGCGCTAATCCGCTAAGCCGCTAATGGGCTTGCTTCACAAGACGAAAAAACCGCAAGACGAAGAGACTCGCAGAACGGATTCTTTTCGTCTTGCGAGGCACCACTGTATATATATATATGTGCAGGCCAGCTGATGCCCCGTGCAAAGGTTTGTGGAGCAGGCCACTAACAGGGGAAAGTGGAATAGAGCAAAACTCTCCTGCCCCTTCCTAAACCCACCAATACGGGAAAGGTATGTTATAAGAATTCTAAGGTCTCAAATATAGAACAAATGTTCATAAACGTACAGGGCAAAAACATACATAAGTATATAAACCACGTGTCTGAAATAGTACAGGAGAGCAATCCTGAAGCCATTTTGACTCTCCCAAATTGACCTCAAATATTTCCCTGCAAGGAGGAAGGAAATGGGAAAAGCTTTCCAATTGTCACTGGACTGTAGGGACTCACACAACCCTGCAAATACAGTCTGGCAAGTATCTGTTAAGCCGAGCGGAACTATCAATATGTGTAAGAGATTCAGAAACTAAAGTATTTACCATATCAAAGGAATGGCCAAGCTACCCAAAAAAGGCATTATCAGGTATCCTGGTGGACAGGAGAGAAGCAACACTCTCAAATTTCTGCTGGAGACCACCTCCTTCTGTGATGTAGGTATGTTGGGTTTTTTTTGGGGGGGGGGTCTTGGGTTACAGGATGAGCAATTTCAAAAGTCTTTATAGGGGCTTGCCCACCACCGCTGGGGTCTCTCCTACCTCCTTGCAAGGAGGGGAGGGAACTCTGTTAAACAGAAAAATAAAGATCTGCCTTGCTTTCTATGGATCTTGCCTCCATCCTTTCATCTCTGAGTGATCATGGACTTAGGGGACTCAGTCCCTTGGGGAGCTGGGCAGCAAAAGCCAAACCCACTATTTTTTCTGTAACAGCTACACACAGGGAGGGCAGCCCTTCTCAAATCTGGTTGGCGGGACAACACAAATGGGGTGTGCGTGCATGGAATCACCCTTGAAAAGTCCATATGCATCTTCTTGCCTTGTCTGGTATAGGGAGGAAGGCATGTTCCACGGGGGAGCATTAAATCCCCCTTCCAACCTCATAGCTTGAGAACACCTGGGGTGAGCAAGCACTTGGCTGTCCCTATAAGCAGTCTTCACTTGATAGGACCATCAGGCTTTCCTTGGGACTTGCCCTGTAAGCAGCCTTCTTGCTTCTTTTAAATCTGCGGTCCCTTCTCCTCCTGGCCTTCATCCTTTACTTCTTTCCCCGGCAAAGCGGAAGCTAGCATCAGATCCAATGCTGGGAAGTTTCGGGAGCGTGTCTAAAGGGTGGGAGGGAAAGTAGTTGGCAGCGGAGTTACTTCCTGTCTATTTCAATATCAATAGGTTTCACGTCCCATCAGTTGTACAGCAGCAGAGCTTTTTGGAGGGGCGAAAGTCCATCAGAAAAGCAAGCCCAACTGTTCATCATTTCACAATGTCCTGGTCAAGGCCTTTCCTTTCCCAGAGCCAGAGATAAAATGGTTGTTTCTGGGCTGTGAGATTTTCATGCTACCCTGCCATTGATCCATAGCTGTCAACTTACAGATTTGAAAATAAGGGACCAGCAGCCTCGAAAATAAGGGATCAGCAGCCAAAATAAGGGATTTTCCGGGCACAGGTATGTTCAGCTTCTGAGCCCCTCTGAGCCAAAGGCAGAAAGCCCAGCCAGCAGCCAAATGAAGCCTCATCAATAAGGGACAGCAGCGGGACATGGCGCTGGGATAAGGGACTGTCCCGCCAAATAAGGGACACTTGACAGCTATGCATTGATCTCAGGCAGAATTGCACCTGACTTTCTACAGGCCTTGCACTTTTTCTGTGTGTATGTTCTGTTTTGTTCCATCGACATTAGTGCATGTGACTTAAGCCTTCTACATACATGAATTGCATGAAGGGGTATCATGCAATTATCAGGAACTCTTAAACATGCTTGTCTGTTTGTTTTCCAGAGAACTGAAGGCTGCTTGCAAAATAGTGCATAAACAGACAAACAAACAATGTCTCATCTGTCCTCAGCCTTTTTTTTTTAAACTTAACATTTTAAAAGGTGCATGGAATTTGAATGAGGAGAGTTATGTTCCCCATCTCTAATGACACGATAGGCAATAGCAGACAGATGCTATTGATTAACATTTGTGTGGCTTTGATCAGAACTGCTGCAGGGGCAAAGGCTTACTCCCTGTCTGCCACATCATGGGTCAGATCCTGCTTCTTCTTTAGGTTAAAGAAAAATCAATGACCACAACAGCAAGCTACGTGGCAAACCTCATGTCTCGCTGTAGCAGCGTTTCACACTTCTCCCTGCCCTAATGCCAGAGCAATGCTTTTCAAAGGGTTTTTGACATCTGTTTTCATTAAAATGATAAACAACACAACTGCGGGTATCTAGAAAAGATTTTAAATGGTGCAGTGTTACCCCTCAGCAACACTGCCCTATGATCTAAAACTCATTTTCTTACTTTTTAAACTATTTTGCAGTAGACGTGTTGATAGTTTCTTTGGGGCATCCTTTTGTTTGTGAAAAATGATGGCTGAATAAATATCATATCTTTTGCTCTATAAGACTCACTTTTTCCCTCCTAAAAAGTAAGGGGAAATGTGTGTGCATCTTATGGAGCAAATGCAGGCTGCGCAGCTATCACAGAAGCCAGAACAGCAAGAGGGATTGCTGCTTTCGCTGCGCAGCGATCCCTCTTGCTGTTCTGGCTTCTGAGATTCAGAATATTTTTTTTCTTGCTTTCCTCCTCCAAAAACTAGGTGCGTCTTGTGGTCTGGTGCGTCTTATAGAGCGAAAAATACGGTAACTAGCATTCCTGGGCTGGTTCGTATTGCGACTTCAGCTGTTTAGGGGGGCATGGCTTTGAAAATGTTACATCCGTCCCAAGCCTCATCAGGAGGAAAAGTATGTTGGCATTGCTGGATGTTCAGCAATGACAGAGCATAAAATTCTCTTTTGGGTCCCCACCCCACTCAAGCCTTGCTAGAATAAAATAAAACCAAATGCCCAGAGGAGCAGAGCAGGTGAGAACAGAAAGCAGATGGAGTGACTTACTCTTCGTTTCAAGCAGGTGAAAGCAAGGATGGAGACTAGAATAACAAGGAAGGCTATGAGCCCCACAGTGATCTTCTCAGCTGCTCTGGGCTGCACAAGGGCGATCCGGGCACCTGCAAGGCAAGACTGCAATTAAATAATCTGGAGAGGATCAAAAGGATCAGAAAGCATCCAAACTTGGAGTTCACTTAGTTGCTGGAAACAGGTAAAAGTAAAGGGTAAAGGGGCCAAGCAATGGGAGCTCACTCCATGGTGGGGATTCGAACCTCCGACCTTCTGATCAGCAAGTGCTAGGCTCTGTGGTTTAACCCACAGCGCCACCCGCGTCCCTTAACAGAGGGTACCTGGTAGTTTTTTTCCTATCAAGCTATTGTCTCTGAGCAGAGGTTTCCGTAGGAATTTGAAGAACCATGAAAGCCTATTCATCAGAGGCAATAGTTGGATAATGAATATGTTCAGCAATGGTGGCTGGGAAAAAACTAACAGGAGGTGGAGACTGGAGGTCGGTGGCTGTACCACATTTTGTTCTGGAATCAATGGAGACAGACTACTTGTTTTTTTCCTATGTAGTCCACACACAGTCTTGATCAATTACATATAGATCCTATATATGTAGGACGCGGGTGGCACTGTGGTCTAAACCACTGAGCCTCTTGGGCTTGCCGATCGGAAGTTCAGCAGTTCGAATCCCTGCAACGGAATGAGCTCCCGTTTCTCTGTCCCAGCTCCTGCCAACCTAGCAGTTTGAAAGCACGCCAGTGCAAGTAGATAAATAGGTACCACTTTGGCGGAAAGGTAAAAGGCATTTCCATGCGCTCTGGTTTCTGTCACTGTGTCCTGTTGCGCCAGAAGTGGTTTAGTCATGTTGGCCACATGACCTGGAAAGCTGTCTATGGACAAACACTGACTCCCTTGGCCTGAAAGCAAGATGAGCACTACAACCCTTTGACTAGACTTAACCTACCTGGATCCTATATCATTTTCAGGCTGGTTTTATGGAGTTGCCGGGTTTAGCTTCTTTTTATGAGCACGTTATTTTATTGTCTTTAAAACAGTTTACAGTCATACCTCAGGTTGAAGTAGCTTCAGGTTTAGCATTTTTGAGTTGCACTCTGTGGCGACCCGGAAGTAACGGAGTGTGTTACTTCCGGGTTTCTCCACTCGCGCATGTGCAGATGCTCAAAATGATGTCACGTGCATGCGCGGAAGCAGCGAATCGTAACCCGGGGACGTGGGTTGCATTCGCTTCAGGATGCGAACAGGGCTCCAGAACGGATCCTGTTCGCATCCAGAGGTACCACTGTACTATTAGCAGCCCTGTTAATGTGATCGGAGTACGGGGTACAGATTTCAGCAATGACAAATGAAAGAATTAATAGCGTATAAGCAAATTAATAATGTACCTGCAATTTCAAGGTGGTACTGCACCGATCCTGACATCCCATCTGGGCCATGGACACTGCATTCCCAGGTACCTGTATCATTGGGCAACACCTGAGGAAACTCCAGGGTCGAGCCTTGGCTTAGGAGCCCAAAACTCGTGGAGGCAGCCTCAGGCCAAGACATGTTTGTGGGATTCAAACCGAGGTACTTCCACATAAAAAGCTCCTTTCCTGTGTGGTAGCTGAGATTGCAGGTGAGTTGCAGGCGAGATCCCTCCATGATGATCCCGTCAGTGCTCGGGGTGACTGAATGGAAAGAAAGAAACAGAAGCTACTCATTTCTCTATCCTCTATCCCTTGCCTCTCTCATATCCTCCCTCGAAGCGGAGTCTATTCCTGGCCCCATTTGTTACACATGACATCTCTTACTTATACGATCTGAAGAGAAACCAGAGTATATTTATTTATTATTACTTCTAGGGCTGTCAAATCAGTTTTCACCTGGCGAATCGCCTGACTTTTAACCAATTAACTGATGAACATGAATCTAAATAATTTTTTCATGACCCCCAAAACCTCGCTGCCGATGCATTTTGGAAAGTTGGAGGGGAAAGTAGGCAAAAGGGAAGGTGAGTTTACTGGACCAAAGCTCTCCCTAGTTATTAGAAGTACAGTAAATGCCATTTAAAATGTTTTCTTTCCTATTCTGTGTTGTTGCAACATGCCAAAATCAAAACAACATTGGAAACCACACAAGCCTGCCCTCAGCTTACAGAATTCCTGACATTACAGCCGCCACCACTCTGGATTCACCAACCAGAGCTTTGGTTGATTAAACTAGACCAGGCACGTCCAACAGGTAGATCGTGATCTACCAGTAGATCACTGGACATCTGTGGTAGATCACTGGTCGATCACTGGCCCCTCCCAAAGAAGCCCAAGGACTTTGGCTCCCCTAAAAAAAGCTAAACATTTTAGCCCTGCAGCCCATAAACAAAAGCTCAATAACTTTGACCTGAACCCCCCAAAACTGCCAGTTTTTAACTCTTGTGAGTAGATCGCAGTCTCTTGGGAGTTGGCCACCCCTGATCCAGACTGAATAGCTATGATTTGAATGACATCTAGATGGGATTCCTGCAATAAGAGCATCATGGGATAACCTTTTAAGCTGCCTTTTCAGAAAGGACAAGCGCACTCCCCAGACAAGGAGATCACCCCTCACTTGCCTTCTCCCCCCCCAACCCATTGCTGGACTCCACTGTCATTTTTCTTTCAGAGATCTTAACATGTGGGACACAACTCGCCAACCTAGAAATCTACTTGGCTCTTTCTGTGTCTCCCACTCCTCACAAAATAAAGAAACACAGTGGTACCTCAGGTTAGGTACTTAATTCGTTCCAAATGTCTGTTCTTAACCTGAAACTGTTCTTAACCTGAAGCACCACTTTAGCTAATGGGGCCTCCTGTTGCCGCCACACAATTTCTGTTCTCATCCTGAAGCAAAGTTCTTAACCCAAGGTACTATTTCTGGGTTAGCGGAGTCTGTAACCTGAAGCGTATGTAACCCGAGGTACCACTGTAAATAAATACTGGTGCCGCCCCCGCTCCTCACCTGTCATCACTGCCAGTGTGATGTTCTTCGTGATGTTTGTTCCTTGAATGGCGATCTCACAGGTGTACCAACCTGCATCATCAAGACCCACCGCAGAAAGATGGAGGGTAAAATTTCTGTTGCTCCCATTACTGAGGGTGGTTATTGACTTTGGTTCTCTCCTTGTTGCGTAGCTCCAACGTGCTGCCACCCTAGAAATGCCGTAGTCCGTGGGATTGTCGTTCAGGAGGCAGGGCAGGTGGGCATCAGAGCCTGCCGCAGCATAGACTACAGATACGGCTGGCTCAGCAAATCCTGGGTTGCGGGGGGGGGGGAGACATGATATTGTGTGAATCAGGCCCAGACAGGGGGGGGGGGCATATGGGCCACTTAGCCCAGGCCTCTGATTCCAAAGGGGGCCTCAGTCAGCATATTTATCTATATTTTCCATTTTGTCTTTATAAATAAAATTTGAAATAAAATTATTTGTCAGCACAACTTTTGTGGAAATTATTTATATACTTATTTATAAGACTTCAGTTATCCCCAGGGTAAAAAAAGGGGGGGCACGTTATCCACCTGGCCCAGGCCTCTGCCTGGCTCTGCAAGGCCCTGTGAATCCCACAAAATTCAACAGGGGCGGCAGGAATTTAGAATAGAAATGTGTTCTGATTCTTCAAGAGAATATTTATTTATTGTATTTTTATCCTAAGAGGTAGCACTCTATGGTTGGCGAAACTGGAAAAGCAAAAGGCAAATCTTACCTATGACTTTCAGGTTGTACGTGGCATAAATTTTCTCCCCATCTGCAAAGGTGAGTTGACAGACCCAGGGCCCAGAATCACTCCTGAATGATCTGGAGATAACCAGAGTCTGGTTCAGGGAACAGAACCGACCAGAGCTGGCGATGAGAAGACCTGCATGGAACCAACGTATCTCTTGGGGGGTTTCTGGATGTGTGGAGTTGCAGGTTAACTGGATAGGTTCAGACTCAATCAGGGGACCGGGAGAATCAGGCGTCACTGAAGGAAAAGGAGAATCATACACTGATGTCCATATCACAAGAGATGACTTTCATCATATAGCTAACATCTCCATCTGTTCCTTTCTGGAGAAAACAGTCAAGTCCAAGGGGCATAGCGGATGAAATGGTGCAGTCACCTTTTCTTTGCAAGAGGGGGTGAATTCTGCCTCATTCACACATCAAGTGAGGATTGGTGAAGGGAGTCAAACCATTCTGCAAGGGCATTATTAAGGGGTAGCTGACAGGGCCCGACCCAGCTCCAGGTCTCTTGTCACGTCCCTCTATTTTTAGAGACTTGAACAACAACAGATATTTCCTTTCAGGTAGGGATGGAGCAGCTGTTAGATTCAGTTTGCATTCAAAGGTGAATTTATAAAAACCAACACTTTCCAAAACAATATAAGAACCGAAACACAGCCATCCTTTGAAGTTTGCCCTTATCTGAATTTTGTCAAACAGTGTTTGCAAAATTCATTCTGTAAGGGGAAAGTTTGTATACAAATTAGTGAAGAAGACGTGCAAAAATGCATTCATCTGTCAATAGTGCATGCAAAAAAAGACTTTTATTGGAAGAAACTCCCATGAAAATGCCAGTGGTTTGTTTTTTTTTTAAATGCAAATTGCTGCAAAAAGGTAGAGAATTGAATCTAAGATTTGAAAAATGAGAATCCAAGAGGACTGAAATTGACAGATCCTTCCATCCCTTACTTACCGGCGTGGGTGTGTTTTCCGCAAAGTGTAGTGCCAGTGACACTTGAGCCATCCACCATCTTAATTTGCCCAGAACCATCTGCCAATTTATGCCAACTTGCCTCACAGGCCTGCACCGCAAGTGTAGCAATGCCCCTGCCATTCCCTCCCCTCTTTACACTCCATCTCTTGAAGAACTTTTCTCCCAGCCCACCTCTGATGCTGGAAGTGGGTAGGGCTTAAAGCAACTGAGGACAGTGAGGGAAGATGGCGAAGGGTTTGGCTACCCTCGCCCATGCTCTCCCTTCCATGCTCCAAAGCAGCTCTTCAGATAGCTTGCTTGACAGAATCTGGCTACTGTACTTCCTGCAGCTGCTGCCAGCTGTCAGATTCACCTACCTGACGCCACGCCAAGCTCCACCTGGCAGCGCAACACCTCTTTGGCAAACTTCACCACAGCCACGTAGGTTCCTGAATCCTCTTTCCGCAGCGGCTCAATCCTGAGCGAAAAATTCCCACGGATGAAGCCAGGGTCCCAGACGGTTGCTCGGTGCATCGTGGAACGGGCCATTTTCTTGACGCCGCTTGGCTCCACCATGAGCACCAAGTGGCGTTTCCTGTGGGAACTGAGGAAAATGGAGGACGAAACTCAACTGTTAAGTGCTGGACGAGTAGGGCAGTAGCCCAGAAATGGGTTACAGGAGAGAGGTGGGGGTAAGTGGAATGGAGGGAGTTGAGGGGAAGGAAGAGGAAGTAGTAAATAAAAGTACCGTGTTTTTCGCTCTATAGGACGCACTTTTCCCCCTCCAAAAATGAAGGGGAAATGTGTGTCCGTTCTATGGAGCGAATGCAGGCTCCTTGGCTTCAGCGATAGCAACGCGAAGCCTCCGAAGCACAGAGGGAGCGCTCCCTCCGCGCTCCGGAGGCTTCGCATTGCTTTCGCTGAAGCCTGGAGAGCGAGAGGGGTCAGTGCGCACCGACCCCTCTCGCTCTCCAGGCGCTTCAGGGATAGCCACCTGAAGCCTCTGGAGTGCAGTGGGAACTCGAGCTTTGCTCCAAAGGCTTCGGGTTCCTTTTGCTGAAGCCGGGAGAGCAAGACTCTCCTGGCTTCAGAGAGAGGGAGAGCTGCGCAGCGCCCCTTCAGTGAAGTGGGAAGGAGAAATGGAAGGGGCTCCGTTTCTCCTGCCGCTTCGCTGAAGGGGCGCTGAGCAGAGAGGGGGAGAATTATTTTTTCTTGTTCTCCCCCTCTAAAACAAGGTGCGTCCTATGGTCGGGTGCGTCCTATAGAGCGAAAAATGCAGTGGTTGAAAGCCCCCCCTCTCCCCCCAACCCCGAGTGCATAGAAATGGGTGCCTTACCTGTCTCCATGATGCACCCAGCGAAGAGCTAATCCCTTGTACAGCTGCCTGAAGCTGCTCTTCAACCTGCGACGACTCAGGTGACAAGGAAGCAAAGCTCGTCCGCCTTCTTCAGCCCACACCCTGCATGCTTCTCCTGGTGCACAAGGAACATTTTGGGCTGCAAGAAGATTGTGGAGCCAATCAAGGAAAAGATGAGGTTACAAACATGCCCGAGAGGACGATATCTCTCAGCCTAGCCTATGCCACCCAGGTCTGTTGCCGTGATAAAATGGAGGGAGCGAAATTAGGGTCTGGAAGGGGTGGGTCTTTGTTGCTTAAGAGCATGGAGCAGAGATGGAGACCTCCTGCAGGAGCTCAGATGCAAAAAAAAAAGCTGAAGCAACACCTACAGCAACCACTAACCCCACCCTGCCTTCAGGTATCCTGGGCCACTCTTCTTACCAATAGTCAGCTGCAGACTGAGGACAATAGTCCAGAAGAAGAATAGTAAAGTCATAGTGGTGTCACAGGAACAGGTGGGTGAGTGCCCTCAAGCTTCTTCTTCTCCTCCCTCTGGCTGAAAAGGGAAGGGTTTGAAAGGGGAGCTGCAGACTGGACCACACAAGAACCTGAGGCTAAGGAAATGGAGGTGGATCTCTGATCAAAGACTTCCGTAGTCGCCCTTATATTGCAGGTGGGCTGCTGGTTTCCTGGTGGCGCTGCAGTGAGCGACGTCACAGCCAAGAAATCAGCCCCAGGCTGAGCCACGTGCAGGAAGGCAGCCGAGTGAGTTCTAGAAAGCAACTTGCAATGGAAACTGTTTCCATCTCATTCGGTCCACTCAGTAACCGTTGTTTTTCTTCACGGTTTTGCTTGCAGTGGAAAATGTACATAGGGCCAGTTTCTCAGGAAGTGCCCTGGGTGTTTTTCTTTGATCTCTACCCTTTCATCGCACAGTTTCTTTGGTGCTCTTCTTTCATCTTTTCCCTTTTATGGCACGGTTTCTTTATCTTGGTTAAGTCAGAACGTGGCGGTGCTGGTGATGCTTTGAGAATGTGGAGATGCTGAGGCTGCTGGACCACATGTAGGTGGACACCAAGGAGGTTCTGACCAGGTCTGGATCAGCTAACTTCCCCCAACCTTGGGCCCACAAGATGGTCGGGAGTACCAGTCCCATCAGCCCCTGCCAGCACATCCTGCACTGCAGCCCAAAACAGCTGGAGGGATCCAGGTTAGAGAAGACCAATCTTGAATAATAATAATAATTTATTATTTGTACCCCACCCATCTGGCTGGGTTTCCCCAGCCACTCTGGGCGGCTTCCACAGAGACCAAAAATACACTAAAATGTCACACATTAAAAACTTCCCTGAACAGGGCTGCCTTAAGATGTCTTCTGAATGTCAGGTAGTTGTTTATCTCTTTGACATCTGATGGGAGGGCGTTCCACATGGCGGGTGCCACCACCGAGAAGGCCCTCTGCCTGGTTCCCTGTAACTTGGTGTCTCGCAGCGAGGAAACCGCCAGAAGGCCCTCAGCGCTGGACCTCAGTGTCCGGGCAGAACGATGGGGGTGGAGACGCTCCTTCAGGTATACAGGACCGAGGCTGTTTAGGGCTTTAAAGGTCAACACCAACACTTTGAATTGTGCTCGGAAACATACTGGGAGCCAATGTAGGTCTTTCAAGACCGGTGTTATGTGGTCTCAACGGCCGCCCCAGTCTAGCTGCTGCATTCTGGATTAGTTGTAGTTTCTTGTTCATTAAGAATGTGCAGGAGAGGGCAATATAAATGGAGTTGCATAAAAGGCACCATGTGCACTATACATTTACAGCAGTATCATACCGTTTTAAACAGTCATGGCTTGCCCCAGAGAATCCTGGGAACTACAGTTGGTTAACGGTGATGAGGGTGGTTAGGCGGGGCCAGCCCAAGAAATTTTGGCATCTGAGGTGGACCCCAAAATGGCACCAGGGAAGAAAAGGTGAGGGAAGATCTACGTCAGGAACGGGGTGGGGGGGAGAGAAAGATGGACATCAGAATCTGCTGTCCCTGTGGATCCTGCCACCTGAGGCAGTCACCTCATCTTGCCTCCTGGGTGGGCTGGCCCTGTTCTTAAAGGTAAAGGGACCCCTGACCATTAGGTCCAGTCGTGGCCGACTCTGGGGTTGCGGCGCTCATCTCGCTTTATTGGCCGAGGGAGCTGGCGTACAGCTCCCAGGTCATGTGGCCAGCATGACTAAGCCGCTTCTGGCGAACCAGAGCAGTGCACGGAAACGCCGTTTACCTTCCCGCCGGAGCGGTACCTATTTATCTACTTGCACTTTGACGTGCTTTCGAACTGCTAGGTTGGCAGGAGCAGGGACCGAGCAACGGGAGCTCACCCCGTCGCGGGGATTCGAACTGCCGACCTTCTGATCGGCAAGTCCTAGGCTCTGTGGTTTAACCCACAGCGCCACCCGCGTCCCTATGGCCTATGGCCCTGTTCTTAGGAGACGCCTATTTCCCTTACAGAGCTACAACTCCCAAAGTTGTTTAACAAGCAATTTCTCTTCCTAGTGAACTCTGGGAGTTGTAGCTCTGTGAGGGGAATAGGGGTCTCCTAACATCTCTCAACACCCATAACACACTACAGATCCCATGATTCTTTGGTAAAAGCCATGACTGTTTAAAGCAGTGGTTCCCAACCTTTTTTTGGCCATGCCCCACCTAAGTGTCTCTAAAATCCTGATGCCCGCCCCCCTTGTGACATATAATCCTTATTATTCAAAAAGTGAACTCCTATTCATGTGGAGGAAGCCTAAAAGGCCATTCCCTGTTAATAACTCATTCTTGAATTGCCCCCCTTAAAAATCAAATTGCCCCCCTGTGGGGCATGTGCCCCACGTTGGGAACCACGGGTTTAAAGTGCCATGATGCTGTCCTAGATGTATAATGCAGATGGGGCCAAATACTCATGGAATCCTATTGCTTATGTTCTTTACAAGCGAAACTGTTCCCAGATGTAAATGCATATCCTGATTTGGATTTTGCACGGCTATCAAGGGGGCTGGATCATCCTTGAACTAAGGAACTGTCTTGACACAGATCTTGTGGAGGGAAAGGAATCATGCCTTCTCTTCCTGTGGCAACATCTTCGAACAATGCAATTGGAAAAGGTGTTCATCAGAAAACTTTAAATGCAAATCTTTTGGAAGCTCAGATTTTGCCATTATGGGACATCATGCTTATAGACAAATTAACCATCTCATGAAAGGAACATCGATCTGCAAGAAAAGGACTGGCATCTTCCATACAACATTATCCTTTTATCCTGCTTGTTGAACGGACCTGGCAGTGTTATAGATCAGTCCCTGAGAGCCAGCTCACATTTGTTGCATTTCCTGTAATTTGCCAGAAGATAAGACAATCCACAGGGATACAGGTGGCACTGTGGGTTAAACCACAGAGCCTAGGACTTGCCGATCAGAAGGTCGGCGGTTCGAATCCCCGCGACGGGGTGAGCTCCCGTTGCTCGGTCCCAGCTCCTGCCAACCTAGCAGTTTGAAAGCACATCAAAGTGCAAGTAGATAAATAGGTACCACTCCGGCGGGAAGGTAAATGGCGTTTCCGTGTGCTGCTCTGGTTCGCCAGAAGCGGCTTAGTCATGCTGGCCACATAACCCAGAAGCTGTACGCCGGCTCCCTTGGTCTATAGAGCGAGATGAGCGCTGCAACCCCAGAGTCGGCCACAACTGGACCTAATGGTCAGGGGTCCCTTTACCTTTAAGACAATCCACGCAGGTGAGTTGGAAGGACTAATGTAAAGTGGGAGTAAGATCAACAAGCTGGGAACTAAGGTTGAGGGGTCTGTCCTGCGGGAATGGGAGCTCTGGTTCAAGAGACATTTCTGGTCGAGGTGCTTTTGTGCTGAGTGAGCTTCTGTGAAATGATGGCTCCATCCGGAGGTTCTGTTTTACTCAGCATGTGCCTCTATCTTTAGATTTGACGTCTCTGTTGTCTCTGTTTCAGCCCATTCTAAACGCTGACTCTACTGTGGCTTCTTGTTTATAATCTCTAACGCTAACCCTGACCAGCAGCACATTGACGGCTGATGGAAGGTCACACAAGACCCATCCAGGGAACCTTGGGTCAGAGGGTACCGAGAAAAGATCTCACAGAAAGGCATTTTTAGAGACATGGAGATAAAGCTGTGTGACTGTGACGTAGCCTCTGACCCAGGGAACTCATAGCCATCAGAAATCTGCAAAGGTTTAACATGTCACAGGTTGTTCTTGCTACACCAGCCTGACCTACCTAACTTATTTGCAGTGCTATTTTTCTAGAAAAAGAGGTGCTGGAACTCACCATGAACACCTCCCTTGTTCTTTTATAGTTGCAGTGGCGCCCACCATTCACCAAACCCTAAATTACTTAAATAGCTAACATCAATGTGGTTATTTACCATTACCTGCAAATTTTTGAAGGTAGGAGGTCTACCAGTAGATACCAGCCAAGATGCCAGATTTATAGGCATATAATGCATGAAACATACCCTCCAACATTTCTCCAATGAAAATAGGGATATTATTGTTGATGTTGTTGTTTTTGTTCCCTGCCCATCCGACTGGGTTACCCCAGCCACTCTTGGTGGCTTCCAACAAATATAAAAACATAATAAAACATTAAGCATTTTTTTAAAATCTTCCCTATACAGGGCTGCCTTCTGAAGGTTGCATAGCTACTTATCTCCTTGGTTTGGGGGTCACATAACTCCATACCCTCCAACATTTCTCCAACGAAAATAGGGACATCCTAAGGAAAAGCGGGGACATGGGTGGCACTGTGGGTTAAATCACAGAGCCTAGGACTTGCCGATCAGAAGGTCGGTGGTTCGAATCCCCGCGACGGGGTGAGCCGTTGCCCAGTCCCTGCTCCTGCCCACCTAGCAGTTCGAAAGCACGTCAAGTGCAAGTAGATAAATAGGTACCACTCCGGCAGGAAGGTAAACGGCGTTTCCGTGCACTGCTCTGCTTCGCCAGAAGCGGCTTAGTCATGCTGGCCACATGACCTGGAAGCTGTACACCGGCTCCCTCGGCCAATAAAGAGAGATGCGTGCCGCAACCCCAGAGTCGGCCACGACTGGACCTAATGGTCAGGGGTCCCTTTACCTTTAAGGAAAAGCGGGAAAATCCTGGATCAAATCAGAAACCAGAATGGCTTCTGTAAATCTGGGACTGTCCCTGGAAAATAGGACACTTGGACACTGGCGAAGGAAGAGGAGTGTGGGGGGAGCGCACTGCCCCCAGCAGCGTGATCCCAGCGGGGTGCCATTGCGGCTGCCTCCCCGCCCGCACTGGGGCCTTGCCCCCACAGGCAATGAGCCCTGCCCCCCCGGACACGTGCCAGCCCCACCCCCGCCTGCTCTCCGCCCCCCGGTGCCAAAGCATGAAGCTCTGCTACTGCGCTTGGAGGGTCTGTATGAAATGGCCATAATTAATTAAAATCATGATCAGAGAAAGCAATAGATAGCTCTGTTCAATAGTCTATTCAATTATTATTGTTGTTTTTCATTTAACTTGTAACAAAGCACCAGAGAGCATTCTACTTTAGCTTTTAGGATTTGCCAATAAAAATGGAAGAAAGTGAAATTAGAAAATGGAATAGACTAATAAAAAGGTTTTGTGGACCAAGAAATAA